GTCGCGTCCGGCCGGCGCGCGCAACACCAAGCCGCTGCGCAGGCGCATGTCAGTTAGGGGAGCTATCAAGAAAACACGCTCCATTAATGTCGACTGTGAGTAACAAACTAAATTTAATATGTTACAAAGTATTTATAAAAGATTAATTTTGTCCAAGACTCTGTCTGTCTCTCTCTCTGTGTCTCTGTCTGAAAAAAATACGTAGCCTATTATATTCACTGATTACATAGCTTTAACGATGAATTAATTTTTAGGACCAGTAGTTTTTGATTTTTTTCAATACATGGAAAAATCCAAAATTACAAATGTTTCTTCTTTAAATTAGTATAGACTACCTTTCGCCTGCGACTCCCTCTGCTTGCAATTAACAAGAAAATTATTTAGTAGCTCATGGGTTCTTCCAGACTATGCTCTAAATCTATGCCAAATTGCCGTTCAACTATTCTGGAGATACATAGTAATGAACATCCATCCATCCATTTAAACTTTCACACATTAAATTAAGATAAAATTACTTACTTATTTACAACTATTAATTTTATATTTTAGCGGAAACTCTAGGCATGGAAGGGGAATACGTGGGTCCCCATCTGGAAAGGAAGCCGTCTTGGCTGGAAGTAGATCCGATATTGGGCCGGAGTCCTTCACCTGAGGACGCTAAAAGAAGAGCTATTACTAAGTGAGTATAATCACATGTTTTTATTTAATTTTTTTTATTTTAATTGTATTAACGTATAACTTAAACACTCCGTGCTACTAACCCCATCAGAATGGCGCGCTATTCTGATACGTCGGAATGACATTGACAGATGTCAGATAGGGATGGGACGTATATGCCAATAATGTAGTGTTGCGCCAATCCTCCAGCGCAGTACTGATATCCTTCATAACAGTATTAAATATCCTATAATCTAGTCCTACTAATTTGCTAAAATTGTACTTTATACTTACCGTATATATGTGAATAATGTTTTTTAAAAACTTTTCAGAGGAACTTCGACAACTAGTTTAGGCATCGTGCCTCCTACTATTGAAGTGACTAAAGAGCAAACGCCTTCGCCACCTAAAGAAGAAGGTAAATTAAATAAAATTGAAATGTTAAGTGCTAAAATACGACTAATTTTTAATAATTTTTGAAAGTGGCCCAGTAATTTTCGAGATATTAATTCATAGAAAAATACAAATCTTATTTCTTTATAATAATAGTGTAGACTACAAATTTCATTATTATGAATAATGAAGAATAAAAATGTTTCTGGGCCCTTTTTTTTAGTTTTTGCCCTATTTGTATTTTTCAGGCGCAGTAAATAAAAACATATCTTCAATAGTTCGTAACAGAACGATATCCGAGTCACAGAACGTCGTATACGCGGAGCAGGAGACCGACGAGCTGATCGCCATGCTGAGAGAAACTGAGAGCTTGGACGAACAAGGCGATATTTTACAATACCTCGTGGATACACAGGGACTCGAATTTAATACAGGTTTGACTATTAGTATGTTAAATTAAATTAAATTAAAGTGTGTTCTTATATAGGA